TATCTCCATTTTATAATTGAGGAAACTGAGACAGACAGAAATTAAGTACCATGCCAGATGCCACACAGCTAGTAAAAGTTTATGAGGAAGTACTCGAACTCAGGTCTTCATGACTCCAGGCCTAGAACTCTGTCTACTGAACCATCTGTAGGCCTTGGCCTGGAATGTCCTCCTTCTTCACCTCTGCCTCATAAGGCTCTCTAGCTTTTTTCTTTTTTTTTTGTTTTTTGTGTTTTTTTGTTTTTGCTGGGCAATGGGGTCAAGTGACTTGCCCAAGGTCACGCAGCTAGTAAGTGTTATGTGTCTGCGGCCGCATTTGAACTCAGGTCCTCCTGAATCCAGGGCCAGTGCTCTATCCACTGCGCCACCTACCTGCCCATATAGCTTTTTTCAAAACCTTTTGTACTTAACTGCTACACTTATTTGTTATGAGAGAGCTTTTATCTGGTTGGAGGTAGAAGGAATTGCATGGAGAGGAGCTGAGTACTGATAGTGATACTAAGAAAAAAAAGAAAAAGGTCAATGAAACATGTTTAAAAATCCAAAGAAGAGGGGAAAAAAGTTGAGGGCCTTTCCTGATCCTCCTAGATATCCAGTACTTCCCCCTCCTCACTCCCCTAAAGTTACTTGTATCTCTTTAAGGTATATCTTTAAATGTATATATGTTGTTTCTCCCAATCAAATGTGAGCTTCTGGAGAGCAGAGACTGCATTACTTGTGTCTCTGTCACTAGCATTTAGCTTACAGTGGATGCTTAATAAATGCTTGTTGATTGATTCTTTTCTCTTCAGGGCCAAATATGGTCAGTGTAATTAGAACAGCATTCAGTTTGGTGGGGTTTGTGTTCTTCTGTTTCCATTGTTACACTTGTACATATTATTATCTTGGTTCTGCTGTCTCCTTACTGCTTATTTTCTTCTTGTTCCAAGTTCTGCTGTCTTGGACTACGCAAAAACCTGTTTGAACTCTTGAAGAATGGCTCATGTTTTAATTCCCTCCCTCCCACCCCAGTTCTTCTCTTCTCCATACTGCATGTTCCTGGTTTTTTCATCTGATTCACATTATGGCAGGAACTCTGATTGCCCTCCCCTAAAAGTTCCAGTTTACCAACATTGATCTTTTATAAATTATTTTTAAAAATTTTAATTTGACAAATAACAAATATGAACAAGTATTTCAGCATCCCAAGAAGAACAGGAAAAAGAGGATTGTATGTGAAATTGTGAATCTCTGAAATGTATAATTTTTAAAAATATTTTCTTCCAATTGCATGTTAAAAGTTTTTAACTTTTTCTTTTAAAGTTTTGAGTTCTGAATTCTATCTATCCCACCCTTTCTTCCCTCCCCCATAGTAAGCAATCTAATATAACTTATATATTTGCAATCATATAAAATATTACCATATTATAGAATGTATAATTTTTAAAGTGGATATCTAATTACATTAAATTTAAATAAATTTAAATGGGCAACAAAATTATTCTACCTATGGCCCTCAACTTTTTTCCCCTCTTCTTTGGATTTTTAAACATGTTTCATTGACCTTTTTCTTTTTTTTCTTAGTATCACTATCAGTACTCAGCTCCTCTCCATGCAATTCCTTCTACCTCCAACCAGATAAAAGCTCTCTCATAACAAATAAGTGTAGCAGTAAGTACAAAATGTATCAACATATTTATTGGTTGTATGTAAAAATGTATGTCTTATCCTGCATCTCTTCTCTACCAAGAGGTGGGAGGCATGCTTTTTATCATCAGTCTTCTAAAGTTAAAATTGGTCACTGCCTTGATGAGGGTTCAAAGGTCTTTCAAAGTTGGTTTCCTTTCAGCTATTGTAGACATTGTATAGACCGTTATTTTGTTTACTTCACTCTACATGACTTTATACAAATCTTCCCAAGTTCCCCTGAATGCTTGTCTTTTGTAATTTCTTTTGATGTGTTACATCCATGTAGCATGGATTCCCAGTAGAGGGGCACCTGCTTGTTTCTAGATCTCTGCTACAATAAAAAAAAAAAAAGAGACACTGTTAGTACTTTTGTTCATATGAGTACTTTCTGTCTTTTCATTTCCTTGTAGTGTTTGCCTAGTAATGGTATCATAGCTGTGTCAAAAGGTATGAATAATTTTTGTGACTTTGAGGTATAATTTTAAATTGTTTCCCAGAATGATCCAACCAATTTACTGCTCCGCCCTGTATGAATTAACATCCTGTCCTCCCACAATCCCTCCGGAACCTCCTTTCTGCCAGTCATTTCAATTTGCATTTATCTTGTCATTATTAGTGAATTGGAGCATTTTTAATATAGTGTGATAGCTTTCATTTCTTTTTTTTTTAAATCATTCATAACCTTTGACACTTGGAAATGGCTCTTGTCTGTAAGTATTTGTATCAATTCCTTGAATATCTTGGATATCAGACCTTTATCAGAGAAATTTGCTGCCAAGATTGTTTCCCTAGTAACTGTTTGCCTTCTAATTCTAACTATGTTAATTTTGTTTATGCAAAATCTTTTCAGTTTGCTGTAATCAAAATTGCCCATTTTATGTTTTTATGTTTATCCCTTGTTTGGTCAAGAACTCTTCCTCCATAGTAGTGAAAGATATCACCCTTCTTTCTCTTCATGTTGGCTTAAGATATGACTTCTTATGGTGGTCATATGTGAGTTTAGAGCTTTTATTGTAGTATATGATGTAAGGCATTTTATCAGCATCCTACAGTGTGGTTTCACAAGCTTCCGGAACAAAATATTACAGATGAGATCTGACAAAAGCAGGTTAGAGCAAGGTGGTCACTTCCCTATTATCAGATGCTTTGCCTCTCTTAATGTAACCCAAGGCTGCCTTACCTTTTTTACTTACCTTATTATACTAATAGTAGCTAGCACATTTACATCCCCCTTTCAGGGGACATAAATGCAAAGTACATATGTTATCTCATTTGCTCCTGACAACAACCCTATGGGGTAAGGGCTATTATCATCCCATTTCTAGGGATGAGGAAACTTGAGTCAGGCAGAGGTTAAGTGACTTGCTCAGGGTCGCATAGCTAGTAAATGTTTTAGGCCAGGTTTGAACTCTGGTCTTTTTGACTCTAGGCCCAGTGTTCTATCCACTATGCTTAACTTACACTATTTATTCCTGTATATCTTGTAATACGTGGAAAACCTCCATATTGTCTTCAGGCTAAACTGTTGTCTAGCCATTACTCCACCATCTTACTCTTGTGAAGTTGTTGTGTTTTTTAACCTGAATATAATATTTTAGATTTATCCTTAGTATATTTCACTTTATTCAGTTCAGCCCATTGTTCTGATCTGTAAAGATCTTTTTGTGTTCTGCCTGTCACCCAGTGAGCTAGCAAACCTTTCCAGTTTAATGTCATGAGCAGAATGGATGAACATACCATCTACGCCTTTATCCAAATGTTTTAAATAGTATAGGACCAATGGGCTTAGAGCCTTTGGGGCCCTGCACTGCAGACTTTCTTCCACTTTTATATAGCACCATTAGTGAAGATTCTTTTGATCCAGCTGTTTACACAAATCCAAATCTACCGATTTTACTACTAATCAGCCCACATCTTTTCTCCAAGAATAGCATTAGAGGTTTTGCTAGTTAGGACAGGCCTCTGGGTATAAACATGGTCTTGCCATTCCTTTTTCAAACCCTAGTTAGGAAGTTTATGTTAGTGAGGAATTTCTGGCTTCTAGCAGGATGATTTATCAGCCCCCCCCAAAAAAAACCCAAGCCTCACTCCCCAAAACATGCCTTGTCTATCACGTGTACCACAAAACCATGCTGTCTCTAAATATCGCTTCCTATTTGAGAGGGCTGTGTTTAATGTAATAAAACAGTGAATGTATCTAGTTATAGCTTTTGAGGTTGGTCATACTGTAACCTGGGCCCCAACATAGTGATGTTCTTTTGGTGTTTTGGAGTATAAAGGACAACCAGCCAGCTTTTGAAGTAAATTAATGCTTATAAGAAGAGCCATTGTTTGATTCACGAAAACTGTTAGGAAACATTATATATTGCATACTATATCTTAGACGTAGGCCATTAAATTGGTTTTCCACCGATTCCTCCTATTTAAATGCAACTCCTTCCCCCCAAATCCTACAAAACCTTTTCTGTCCTTACTTAAACCTTATGTCTATCCCTGTACCTATTCCTATTGAAGGAGGGGACACCTTTCCTTGGCTAACGTGGTGCCGCTTTATTATCTAAGCTCAAGCTGATTCTAGAATAGCACAATTGAAAGATAAGGAATCATTTTCATGATGAGTTGCCAACCCGAACCCCACTCAAGTATTATGAGTATGGCAGCGTCACCGTACCAGTGTTCCAAACAGAATGGCTCATGGCAAAATGTAAAGCATTGCCCCACGTGATGGTGAAAAAGTGCTGCGTGCAAGTGCTTTGGAAAGAGTAAATGCCAATTTTACTTAGTCTTGTGTGTGATGCACATCATATCAGTGATAACATATGGTTGTGTGTTCCCCCTGGGTCTTAGCGTAGGCTATATTTTACTGACTTGTAGTGTAGGAGGTAGAATTAATGATGGCCTCATCTTTAATCACTTGGAGAAACTGGACAGAGAGAATTCCCTGAGCTAATCTATCCAAATTCAAGTAATTGAAAAAAAATTTTCAAGTACCAAGTTAACCTTAAAAGAATGATTGTCTTTCTCCCCAATTTGGACTGGAATGAATTGGGACTATTAACCTCATCTCTTAGGTGTATTTCTTTTAGCAGGTGACAGTCATGTCAAGCTCCTAATTTGTATGATGTCATGGGAAAGCCCTGGGGTTTTCTCATTCCAGAGTGTAAAAATACCCTGCAGGGGAAAGGGTACTTCCATGTTTTTTTTTTTCTTTTTCTATTTTGGCAGAAAGCATTTTGGTAGATTGGAATTACATCCAGTGTTTGATTTAGAAGGGCCGTGAATTCCTAGTGAAACCATTTATACAACTGGCTTTTCCCCCCTTTTTTTTTCAGAGTGATCAATGCAGGAAAGAGCACGCACAATGAAGATCAGGCAAGTTGTGAGGTGCTGTCTGTGAAGAAGAAGTCAGGAGTCATTACCTCAACTCCAAACAGAAATTCATCTGCCAAGCGAAGGTCCTCTCTTCCTAACGGGGAAGGGCTGCAACTGAAGGAGAATTCTGTAAGAGAATCCCTTTTAATCTTGGTATTCACATAAGACAGTTACTCTTTGCCCTAGTGCTTAGCATAGCGCCTGAACAGAGTGGGCTCTAAGATAATTAATAGCTTAGCTTTTTTCCTGAAGGGTTTAAGATACAAGAGCTAAGTTGAAAATATATGGTGTGCAGACTACAGGGGAGAGAATGTAGATGGAGTATGCCAAAATGGCTTAGAACAGGGGTTTTCAAATTTTTTATCTCAGGATTCTTTTAACTCTTAAAAATTGAGAACCCCAAAGAACGTTTGTTTATGGGTTATACCTGTCAACATTTAGTACATTAGAAGTGAAAACTGATGAATTTTAAAAATATTTCTTCATTTAAAATAATCATAAAACCATTATGTATTAACATAAACAAATTTTTGTGAAAGATGATTATATTTCCCTAAACAAAAAAAATGAGAAGAGTAACATTGTTTTACACTTTTTTTAACACATTGTTTTTGCAAATCACCTTAATATCTGGCTTAATAAAAGACAGAGGAAGCTTTGCAAATCATCTCATTGAATTGAGTAGAATTATTTTTGATCCCTTTTATATATTACATAAAAGAATCTATATTACAGATCAGGATTATCTAGACTGTAATTATTTCTATAAGTATTCTTTCCCTTGATAATAACCTCCAGAAAGTTCACTCTTATGGCCTGGGGTATGTGATGACAAGATTAAAATGAAAAAAAGGGAGAGTTGTTGCTGTAGTTCAGTACTGGAATGGAATGATGATGAGAGAGGAAGAAGTGGAACCAGGTGGTCTAGGATGGAGTATTACTGATCTCTATCTCAGAGACGCCAGGTAGGTTCAAGAGTACAGAAAGCCAAGGTTATGCAGTGCCTTTCATTCTAAGATTGGGCAGTGAGTATTAATGGAGAATCCAAAAAATCATTCATTATGACCAAGTCTGATTTATGCCAGGGATGCAAGGATGGTCCCATATTAGGAAAATCAGTCAGCCTACTTAATTATATTTGCAAACCAAAATATCTAAAACCACATGATCATTTTAGTAAATGCAGAAAAAAAAACTTTGACAAAATACAGCACTCTTTTATGCTAAAAACCCTACGAAGTATAGGCATTGAGTGACCTTTTAAAATATCATATAAAGATCTAAAACCCAAAGTAAGTATCATATGTAATAGGGATACACAAGAACCTTTTACAGTAAGTAAAAAAATTCATTCTGGGAATGAAGCAAGAACGCCCAGGCTCCACACTGTTACTTGATGTGGTTCTGGAAATGCTAGCAACAGCAGTAAGACGAGAAAAAGAAATTAAAGGTATAAAAACAGGTAAAGAGGAGATAAACTACCCCCATTTGCTGATGATATGATGGTTGGGAAATCCTAGGGATTTAGCAAAGATTTTAATTGAGATAATAGCTTCAACAAATTGCAGGCTACAAAAGTAAATCTTTGAAAATCAATGTTTTTATTTTCCATATTATAATAACAAAACACAGGAAGCAATAATAGAAAAAAACCCTATTCCAGAAAAACTACAAAATGCATAAAATATCTAGGGATCTACCTACTAAAGCACACAATAAGACTTATATAGATTCAATTACAAAGGGCTCCTTAAGGAAATAGAGAACAATTTAAATAGTTGGTGGAATATTCAGTGCTTGTGGATAGGCTGTGCCAGTATAATAAAAATGATAATACTACCAAAATTAATTTATACTTTTAATATGTCAAATTACCAGGAGGATACTTCATAGAACTTGATAAAATAATAGCAGAATTCAGTCAGAAAAATAAAAGATGTAAAATATCAAGGAAAATGATGTCAAGAAGTAGAGGCAGAGGGGGAATAACACTTCCAAACCTCAAATTATTATAAAGCAGCAGTCATCAAAATCATCTAGTATTGGTTAAAAAATAGAGATCCAGATCAAGAGAACAGCCTAGACTAGATTTAGAAGCAATAGAAGTAATAACCCAGTGTTTGATAAAGTGGAAAACATGAATTACCTGGGAAAAAAATTTCTTGTTTGATAAAAACTTCCAGGGAAGCTGGAAAGCATTTTAGCAGAAATTAGGCTTACACCAACACCCAGCCTACATCATATTCTATAATATATTCTAAGTGGACATGTGGCCTTAATATTAAAGATTATGCTATAAAACATTAGAAGAGAAACAGATCATATCTGTCTCACAATAGTGAATAGGAGATATAGCAAATGAAATAGAGGCATTTAACAAAAGTTAAAATAGAATAACTTTGATTCCTTGAAATTGAAAAGCTTTTGCACAGGCAAAATTGATGCACTTAAGATAAGAAGGGAAAGGGTTGAAAGGGGAAAAATCCTTGTATCAAATCCCTTTGGATGAGAGTTTGATTTATAAGATATATGAGCAATTAATAAATACGTGAATGTGTGTGTGTGTGTGTGTGTGTATACACACACACACGCACACACATGTACATATACACACATATATATCTATATCTACATATCTATCAATACATATCTATCTTAGATATATTTTTAAATTTGTTAGCCATCCCACAGAAGATGTGATCAAAGAATATGAACAAAGAAATCCCAAAAGTAATCAAACAGTTCTCAAAAGAATTGCAGAGTATTCATAACCACATGGAAGAATGTTCCATATCCCTAATAATAAGAGAAATGCAAATCAAAGCAATCCTGAGGTTTCACCTCACACCTTGGCAGTATTGGGAGAAATGACAAAAAATGGCAGTAGCCAATGTCAGAAGGATTATAGAAGGTTAGACACCCTAATACGTTGGTGTCGAAACCAGAGACTTTGTTACTAGGCTTATGCCCCAAGAAAGCTGTTAATAATAAAGTCCCTACCTAACACCAAACTATTCATAGTACCACTTTTTGTGGTAGCAAAGAATTGGAAACAAAGTAGATTTTCATCAAATGGCTAAACAAATTGTGGGATGTTAATATAAGGGAGTATTATTCTGCCGAACAAATTATATGTGTGATGAACACAGAGAAGCATGGAAAAGATCCATAGGAATTGATACTGAATGAAGTAAGCAGAACCAAGAAAACAACATGCAAAGCAACTACAACGACGTAAATGGAAAGAACAATAACATACAAAAAAATCCAAAGTAAATGTAACAAAATTAGGAAGATCACACAGGAATGGAATGAAGAGTTATGAGAGGACACCCCCAGCCCACCTCTTTGTGGAGTTGGGAGGTCTACAAGTGTTACATGTTGTACATATTTTGGGACTTTTTTCAATATAGTAATTGGTTGTGCTTTCTTTTCCTCTCTAAAAATGTTACTGTCTGTTCTATGGGAAGGAAAAGGAAGGGATCCTTGAGATAACTGTAATGATATAAGAAACAGAAGATACCAAGATGATCTTATTATTAAAATAAATTCAGACAATGAAGCTTGAAGAGAGAGAGAGGAGGAGTAAAGAAGAAAGCCCTGAGGCTAAAGATAAGAATCCTATAGACTATTTGTGAGGCAAGTTGGTGCCCCAGGAGATTTTTGTGGCTGTACAAGAATGTGGCTTGACTCCATTTGGTATGTGAAGCCCTCATACTCTGATTTCCATCCCCCAATCTTGAGTTATTACATATCCATTGTTCTCGGATATTCTGCAATCTGGCCTTGCTGTTTCTCACATGGGGTATTCCGTCTACTATCTTTGTATTTTTATATAGCCTTTTCCCCCAGGCCTCAAATGCACTCTCCTTACCTTTACCTGTTGGAATCCTCTGTCTCCTTCAGAGCTCAGCCCAAAAGCTGCCTCTTAAATGAGAACTTCTCTGACACTCCTACGTGTCGACCCATTCCTCCATCCAGATTACTTAGTGCATGTTTTGTACCTCATCGTGAGTGTACATGTTGTTTCCACAGATAAAATATAAGCTCTTTGAGAGCACGGTCCTTTGATTTTGTCCCAGCACCAAGACTGATATCTGGAGTCTCTAGTGGGTACTTAATATATACCTGTTGATTGATTGGTATATGGACTTGAGCTGGACCCAAAACGCAAGTAAATGTGGAACTACAGCGGAAATACCAATTGTTAGGAACTCAGATGCCTGTTGAGAAGTCTCATCTCCAGTGTTCGTTGGAGTGGCTAGGAAAAGAGCCCCACGTCCTGGGATGTCAACCCATGGGAAGGAGTCGAATGAAACCTCATAGCTCTTGGCTATTTATTCTTGGCATACAACCACTGCTCTTCCCCCTTCGCTTCCTTGTTCTTCTTACATCAGTTGCCAAGTTTCAAGCCTCTCACTTTCCCATATTAATGTTTTTCAGTTGTCCAGAAGCTTATTGATGCATGCCACGCAGTCACACTGTATAGCAGAAGTTCTTAACTTGGCATCCATGGACAGATTTGAGGAGGTCCTTGAATGGGGACAATGGGACCATTCCATGTTCTGTCACCCCACCATGCCGGTCAGAAAAGCCAAGGATTTTGAGGAAGGTTAAAAAAAAAGGGGGGGGGGAATTACATCTTTGATTTCACTAACTTCTAACTGAAATTAAGCATTCCAGTTATTTAAAAACATTCTTCTGAGAAGGGAGTCCATGGCACTAAGAAAGGTTAAGAGAACCTTTGCTTCACAACAGAAAAGTTCCTGCTAGCGTTGGACCACGTGAGTGCTGAGGTCCATTTCACCACTCATATTCCCAGATTCTTTAATTTGTTGTGTTAAAAGGGAGGATCCTGTAGAATTGCTAAAGAAGCATGTAGAAAGGGGGCAGGGAATGATGAGCTCAACTTCCTTTTTAATGCAATTATATTATTATTTTTTTCAAAATTTTGAGGGGTTTGGGCTAAGATTTCACATAAATGTATAGAGCTTTCAGGGATAAAATCCCCTCTACCAACGCGAATCAGCCATTGCTCTGAAGCTTGTAGTCTTACAGAGTTGCCTGGGATGTTGAGAGTTAAATTACTTAACCCTTGACTACTGAGATAATACTTGAAACCCAGGTCT